GAAAACCCACCCCAACGATGTTCTTCCGCCAACAAGGCTCCACCTCCTAAAGGTTCCGTAACCTCCCCAATGCCAGAGCCTGGGGCCCATTTCAAACCACCCACCTGCACCTTAGCCTCCTGTTTGGCAGAAAAAGTGGGCAAAGATGAGATGAGACAGAGGCGCTGGCTTGCCGTTTCTCACCGCTGGTGAGATGCCAGGGAGGAACACGTTAGGGCTGAAGAGTCCTTCCTGGGATCCAAAACCGGAACCCATGAGAAGGATCAGGCAGTGGGGAAGGAGAGTGAGACAGATGTCATAGAAGTTAGCCTGGGGGGCTGGAGAGATGGCTCAGCGGTTAAGAACACTGGTTGTTCTTGCAGTAGACCTGGGTTCGAATCTCAGCACCCACGTGGCAGCTAACAACTGTCTGTAACTCCAGTCCCAGGGGATCTGACAGCCTCTTCTGACCTCCACAGACATTGCACGACACACGTGCACTTACCTACATGCAGGCAATACGTGCATACACATTAAAAAAAAAAAAGTTAGCCTGCCCTCTGGTCCAACCTTTAGTACAGAGAAAGGGGAAAGCCATGATTTGGCATGCAAATGGGGGGGTCTTAGTTATGGTCCAGTACGGGAAATTATGACATTCAGGGAATACTCTGCATCTAAGTTGCTTAAGTTGGGAAAGATTTTCAAACAAGTAATGAAAGAGCTTCTATTGTCTGGCCCTTGAGACTATAGGACAGGAGCAGATGGGGCCAGTCTGAAAGTCACGGAGGCAGAACGGAGTGTAAGTAGCTATCCTTCTTGAGACAAAGACCCACAACCCAAGGAGATATGAAGGAGCCAGTGGCCTGAGGACTGGCTCATAGGAGGCCATGCCATTTACCTGCCACCCACAAAGTCCACATGAATATCAAGGACTGGAAGACAAGAGGAAGGGCAGGCATTATTGAGAGAATTGGACATGAGAGAGGTGTGGAAAAGGTAAATGACATGTACTGTCTTTTCTGTCAAAGGGCTAAACGAAGCAAAGAATGTTCCATCTCTAACAAACTTCCTAAAAACACCATCTGGTAAAACTCCTGCTAGAATTTAGAGAAGGAAAGTAGAGTAGGGAAAATGACCAGTGCCAGACCTTCAACAGAAGAAGACTGTGGCTATTCAAGCGCGGTGCGTGAGAGGCCTTCCAGAGGAATGGAAGCAACCGTGCTGCGAGTGGGGAGACTTAGACATCATGTGGGGGCTAAGGCATGACGAAGCAGATGCAGCTGCAGGGCTCTGTGTGTCTCATTCCTCTGGAACAGCTTGCTGGAGCAGGACAGGCTGTCTCAGACAGTTAACCCTGAGCCCTGGGACTGGCCGATCTGGCTGTGATTCTTCAATAAGGTTAGTGGCAGTCTCAGACACAGCTGAGGCATTCTATCAACTCCCTTCCCACTCAGCATTTTCTAAGATTAAAGTTTGTGTTCAAAGTTGCAGCCTGCTCTCACCGGCTGCATTTTGCTTAGTAGATGAACCATTTAATCAGCCAACTGCACAAAAATGTGAGGCCAAACTCTGACCATTCAGAATGAGGCACAGACCCCTTGTATTAGGGATGAAAACCTAGTGGGACCTCACTGGGAATGCTTGCTTGCTTGAGTTGGCATGGCTGCAGACCCGTCTGAAGAAGTAAAACTTTTTGCCTTGCTGACATACTTTGGATTGTGTAGTCATTTTCTTGAGACTCCAGACTCATTTCTAACACGTTATTCCCAGTTCACTGGGTCTGATGGAGCGGTGTTCACAGGGGATAAGTAAGACATTGATTCGGCAGGGGCCTCAGGACTGACATGGGCCTTCAGTGAGTTTGCTGAGGCCCATGGTGGTACATGATCTTTATGAGGTAGGGAGAAGTTTTGATGGAATCAAGACAGGATGAGGGAAAGGCAGAGCTCACCAAGGGTCCTGTCTGAGTCACTCAAAACCAATGCTTGACCAGATAGGACTTAACATATATGACAGAATGCATGAAGTCCAGTGGGGGGGGCATGGGGGGCATGGATGAGGGAGGGGCCTAAATTTGATTAAGAACTATTACATAAAATGCAATAGTCTTTAGACTCAATAAAAATATTTCTGAAAAATTGAAAAATCAGTCAATATTAATAAAGGCATATAAAATATACATTGCTCATTTTGAGTAACTGAAATTCTAACATATTTGTTGTTTTCAATATATTCTTATATGTTAATGTTATTGTTCCTAGTAATGTAATATTTTTGACTTGTACAATTGTTTCCATTTTAGAGTAACACTGAAGGTTTCTTTTAAGTCAAAAAAAGAAAAACACCAAAAAAAAATAAAAATAAACCCAACCAAATATATTACTGGTGACATTATGCTGGGCCTGTGTGGCCTGATGCACTGCCCAAGCTCCCTTACCATAACACGATGTTTTCCTGGAGCTTTCTGTTCATAGGTTGAGTTGGGAAGTACCTATTCCTGTTTGGTTTTCTAAGAGGGCTTAGAAATTATTGATGAATTTTATCAGTGAAACCATTCAGCCACATTTTAGGGGAAAGTCTTTTGTTTAGAAATCCAATTTCTTTATTTTATTCTTATGTTTTATTAATTTATTGTGTGTGTGTGTGTGTGTGTGTGTGTGTGTGTGTGTGGTTGGGTGTGGGTCCATGCCATCCAGGAGCAAGTCTACACCCTCCTGAAGGCAAGTGCGACGGAACAAAGACCACTCCAGGAGCACGTCAGAGGGCAGAACTTTATTTTTCAGCAGGCTGTATATACACACATTCATCCAATAACATGAAAGGGTGCCCATTGTGGACCAGGGGTAGCAAAGGTCATGCTGATCATGAGCTTACAACTAGCACTGGGGATCATGCGCTGATCACGCACCAGTCACGAGGTGGCAGACCAATCAAAGTGCAGTGGAAGCATGATGCAGTTTCAGGTCATCTGTAGGGAAAGCTGTGGAAGGAGGTGTGGCTGGGGGGGGGTGCCATGTGGATGGTGCAGTTTAAATTCTGATACAGAAAAGAGGCCTAAGCTATGAAATGGCCCTGGCAGGGCTGGAATTTGGCCTACAGGCGGAAAGGTGGTGGTTTGCATGTGTCATGGCGCACACGTGGAGGTCAGAGTACAACTTGTGGGGGTTGGTTTTTTTTTCTTTCTTCCACCATGTGGGGGTCCAGGGATCAAACACAGTTCCTCAGATTTGGTGGCCTTTACCCACTGAGCTGTGTTGCCAGTCCCAGAAATGAAGATTCTCTAACAATTAGAGGACTGTTCAGGCTTTCTGTTTCTCTTTGAATGAAGTTTGCTAGTTGGAGTCTTTCAAGTTGTGAATCTTCTTCGTTTCTTCGTTCAGGTCCCCGGGTGCGAGTCTAGGGAATTGTCTCCTTAGCCTTTGACTAGGTGGAGGACCAGTGGTGATGAGCTCTCCGTCATTCCAGTACCAGTAGTCTGCTCATCTTCCTTTTCTTGGTTACTCTGGTGAGAACTGTCAGTTTTGTTGATTGATTCAATAGACAGGCTTTGGTTTCCTTGGTTTTATTCATTTATTTACTTTTGATGTGTTTGATCTCAATTTCATTGGCTGTGGCCAAATATTTATTATGGTTCCTGCGCACTTTGGTTTGGTTTGTTTTCCTTTTTCTAGCCTTTGAAAGTGGAAGTTTAGGTTAATTTTCTTTCAATATAATATTAATGCTAGGACTTTCCCTCCAGACACTGCTTTATCTGCACCCCACTGGAGTGTTTCTTTCCCCCCATGTCTTCTTGCCTTTCCACATCCCCACCAACCTCCAGTGCAGGGGGTCCATGTTGCCCTGCACTGGTCACCCCGCCATGGTCATCACTAGCTGTTCACCTCCCTCCTCTCAGCTCTGTGCAGCAGATGTGCATAGCTCACATCTGACTCTAAATCCTGTGGCCTCAGATCCATCAAGTGAACAAGTATGACCATATGGGATAAGTGGATGAGGGCAGGGTACCCCAAAGTGGAGCAGGACTAGACTGTGGGGCCACGGTGAATATTCTCAGATAGAAAAGAACCAAGATTTTGAGGTGAGTAAATGATTATTTATTGGGTTTGACTGGGTCTTTAATGACACACTAGGAACAGGTTGGTTATGGAACTGGACACAAGATTTTCCCAACAATTTACCTGGAGGGGTGAGGATGTATCCCAAACCCTGGGGATGTAAGGAGGCTGAGCTTCCCTGGGCCTCCAAGGACTGGGATGAGCCAGAGGAAGATAAGAGGTGGGGTGGGGGAGCAGGAGAGAGAGGGAAATTGAGGGAGGGCTCTGCTGGGGAATGTCCAGATCCAACCCAGCAAAGAATGGGGGCAGGGTGTGGGGACAGGCCATACATGGGAGAGGGAGGGGCAGAGCAGTTTATTAGAGTGATTGGAGTCAGGGATGCAGGAGGGGCACTTAACTGGAGGGTGGCTGTGTCATTGAAGGAGCCACTGGGCAGGGTTCTGGGTCCTGGGGCTTCTGGAGTCACAGGCCAGAGAGCTGACCAGTGAGGCCCCAGGTCCCTGGGGTCACTGCCACTGCCTGGGTGCTGCATTGCTGCAGGGTTGGTGAAGCTACATGGGAGCCAGACCTCCCACCCTCCCCAGGGGAAATCTCCTGGCCACAAGATGCAGGAACTGGACGTGGGCCATGGCTGGTTCTCTGAAGTTCCTTCCATAGGCAGACACAAGCCTAGGGGGTTCTCACCTCTGTCCAGCTCCTCCACCTAACCGCTCACCATGTACAGCAACAGCAGCCCCAGCCCACCAGCTGCATCGTGGCAGAGATGAGGGGACATGGGCTGGACACATCCCCACCCTGATCTTCAGTGTTGCCCCTTGTGGGCACATGGACTTGTTAGATATCCACTTTCTCTGCCAGCAGCACTGTGCCAGCTGTTGGCAGCACTTTGGGGGACTGATCCATGGCTGTGGACAACCCAGATGCAAGAGGATTCTGGGAGCCCTGGAAGTCTATGATTACAGCCTCAGATCTTGCACTGGCAGCACACGGGGACACAGCAGCTGGACTGACAGCAACAGGGTTTGCAACAGCTGGGCTGACAGCAGGAAGACCCACAGCCTGAAGAACAGCAGGGTTTGCAACAGCTGGACTGACAGCAACAGGGCTTGCAGCAGCTAGACTGACAGCAGGAAGACCCACAGCCTGAAGAACAGCAGGGCTTGCAACAGCTGGACTGACAGCAGCTGGGTTTGCAACAGCTGGACTGACAGCAACAGGGATTGCAACAGCTGGACTGACAGCAGGAAGACCCACAGCCTGAAGAGCAACAGGGTTTGCAACAGCTGGACTGACAGCAACAGGGTTTGCAGCAACTGGACTGACAGCAGCTGGGCTTACAGCCCCCACAGGATCCACAGCCCCCCTTGCAGCCCCCACAGGAGGCACAGACCCCCTTGCAGCCCCCACAGGAGCCACAGTCTCCCTTGCAGCCCCCACAGGAGGCACAGCCCCCCTTGCAGCCCCCACCCCTTGCAGCCCCCACAGGAGCCACAGCCCCCCTTGCAGCCCCCACAGGAGCCACAGCCCCCCTTGCAGCCCCCACAGGAGCCACAGCCTCCCTTGCAGCCCCCACAGGAGCCACAGCCCCCCTTGCAGCCCCCACAGGAGCCACAGCCTCCCTTAGCGCCCCCACAGCTGGAGCAGGAGCAGGCGGGCACACAGCAGCACACGGGCTTGCAGCAGCACACGGGCACACAGCAGCTGGAGCCACAGCTTCCGGAACAGCCACCGCAGGTCATGGTTCTGGTGGTTGGTTGAGGATGGAGTAGGTCACAGGAGCAGGTGGAGAGGGAGGTGTGTGGTGTGGAGTCTCCTGAGCCCGGGGCCTTTATAGCCCTGTCCAGGGTCAGGTGGGAGGCTGCACATGGGACACTTCCTGATTTCTATTTGTTTTTCCCTAGTGAAGTCTTGTGTCAATGTAACATAAACATTGCTTTATCCTGTGACCCAAGCTTTCCTACAGACCTTCAGTACTCAACTCCCCCTGGGTCTGTTGCTTCTTGGGACAAACTCCATGCATCCCTGACCCAGGCCCTGGCAGCCCTGGTGGTGCCTTTGGCTGTTCCAGGTGGTACAGCATTCTGACTTTCTTGGCAGTGTTTCTCTCTCTCTCTCTCTCTCTCTCTCTCTCTCTCTCTCTCT